AATAATAATTTATTATATAAAAAATTTAAAATAAAAATTTAAAACTAAAGAAGATAATTTAATTAAAATTATTATAATTAAAATATTAGTATATATTTTTTAATTAGTAATAAAAATAGTAAGATAATTTTAATAATACTAAAAATTATTAGAAAATTTACTTTTTATTGAAGATTATATTATATATTACTTAACTAAAGTAATATAAAAGTAAATAATATTATAATTACTTTTTTTTATAGAAAAATAAGAATATAATATCATTTTTTATATAATATATATAATATAAATATAAATAAAAAATATATATTATAATCTGACTTTTAATAAAATAATTCAAGTAATATATAAAATAACTTAAATTAATTATAAAAATCTTATTCAAAATATTATAATATATAAATAAATATAAAATATATTTTCAGAAACTACTTGAAAAATTCAAAAAAATAGATTCTTTAGATATAATAATATTTATTATTTCTCTTATAAATAACTTTAACTAATATATTTAAATCATTTTATAATGAATTAAAAATAAAAATATTTATTATATATAATCTTATTGATAATTATATTTATTTTATTTTCTCATTATTTTTTTAATATCTTATTATATTATTATTTTTTCAAGAGTATTTTATATAATTTTCAAACTTAATAAAAAAAAGATGATAATAGCAAAAGAAATTACTATTAATTTTTGATCAAAAATAATTTTTATTACTAATATAAACTTTCTGATTCTTACTGAAATTCTTTTTCATTCAAAAACTTCTTATAAAAAAAGTATATTCTATTTCTAAAAGATTATAAAAGAGTAAAGAAGTATCACAATTCATAATTATAGAATATAATTATAATTTTTTCAATTATTATATGCTATTATATTATCATATCTTTTACAAGTAACTTTATAATAATATTAATATTCTAATATCTGAAATATAAAAAAGTTTTTAGAAAATCTTTACAGAAAATGAATTAAAGATATATTAATCATATAATTTAGTAAAGATATCTCAATCTTGCTTAGAAATAAAGAAAATTGCTGAAAAAAATTGATTAATAATAAATAAGTTAAATAAGTTATTTGAAAAAATGAGAAATTAATATTATAATTTAATAAATTAAGATAATAAGAAGAAATTAATAAGATTTATTAAAAACTTAGAAATGACTTTGAAGTCTGTTCTTAAGTAGATATTTTTTTATTTTGATATTTTTATTGAATGATTTTATATTATATATTTCTTTATAATATTAATATTTCAAAATATAATAAGTATATAAATAAGCAAAATTATTAATAACATCCTATATTTCTCTTCCTAATACTTTTATATATAAACTTTTTAATAATAATAATGATAAGTAATAATAATAATAAGTAATTAATAGATTCACATTTAGATGATATTCACATAAACCTTTCAATAATGAAGTATGGAAAACAATAGAACTTTTAATAATAATACTTGGGATAATACTCACGTGATAAATCAAACGCAAATTAATCATTAAAAACATCAAATTATCGAACTAAAATAATAACGTTATACGGATAAAAACAACAGATGAAAAAATTATTGGAACTTTTTTAAGTTCGGGTCTTTATTGACCAATCAAATCGTTTAATTCAAACGTGTGGCGGATGTGTGGCTAAACCGGCTAAACGGCTTGCCTTGCTTTAAGAAACCCCTATATAAGTCGCTATGTCTATCACTCTCGTATGCCTCGTTAAAGGAAATACATCCACTAACGCTTTTCCTGTCCATATTGGTGGAAACGAACTTGTTGGAGATCTTAAGGACGCAATCAAGGCGAAAAAACAAAATGAATTTGCTGATGTAGACGCAGACAAGCTCAAGCTATGGAAGGTAGAAATTCCCGACGATCACGATGATCAGCACACTCAATGACGGGGATGAACTCCTTGCGACAAAAAAGATTTCGAAATACTTTCCTGACTCACCAGCTGAGGAACATATCCATGTCTTAGTCGAACCACCCACGTCAACCAGATAGAGTTTGACGTTATTGTTAGCCCGAAACGAACAAAGGGTTTCAAATGGACCGTAAATATCAACCATGCAACCCTCGAAGGACCCAAAAAATCCATATATACGATGTACCAAACGCCGGCACTTGAAAATGATGGAGCAGTGTTCAACATAGTAAGCGATAGTGGGAAATACTCACCTCAAAATGATCAAGACCTTTGTGAAATGCTCCAGCTACTCGTGTCAAAAAACAGTTTCAAGTTTACCGTGTTCATAGAGACCCCCTCAAAAGCTTTCTCAAATTGGACTCTCGGCTCTATTTGCCAGCTTTATGGTCTAAGTGGTGAAACGGTGGATCCAACATTGGCTGTGTTCCCGGTTTTTTCGTGTGGTAATGTTGAATCATTGCATGAATCGTTTGAAAATCTCATGATCGAATTAAATTCCCGCCTCGACACCACCTCAATCAATTTGCTATCGATAGAGGCCACAAAATCTATATACGTCTATTCTTACCTACCTGCTGGAGCGAATAACTTCAAAGGAATGTTCGAGATCCGCCCTCAAAAAAATATTTCTGGTCCGAATGGACATGGTCCTGTTGATTTTGCAGTTGATCTACGCCGAACAGCAAAAACAGTGGGGGTCACAGAAGTTAAGAAAGAAGATTTTATCAAAGGCGTCGCCCAATGTGCAGTCCAGCTCGAGTCATCTCCGCCGAATCGTAAGCGTAAAGCTAGTGAAGTGGAAGAGGAACCAACGGTTGGAAAAGTTTTTGGGATAGTCACCGATGCCGAAAAATTCTATTTTATGGAATGCTCGCTGGATGAACAAGATAGACCGAAGTTCAAACTATAGAAGCCGGTAATTGTTGTGTATGATGATGCTGATATGAAAGCCAAGGTAAAGAAAGTGCTTTCTCATTTATCTGGTTGTTGGAGGTACAAAAACCGGCGGAAGCTTCACAAGGTGGAGAGCAATCGAGGGTATTAAAAAAGCATAGGCCATCAAGTAATCTCACAGAAACATCGGATTAGACAAAAATAACAGATAGATCCCCAGATTTACATGTATTTTAGATGTCCTAGGCATCAGCTCCGTTATACTGTATTAATAAAGCAATCAGACCTAAATGGTCGTTCTTTTTTTCGATATTTAATTGATATTTTTTCCAATAATTAGCTACTATGTGTCTGATGCAATAAGCTAAAAATATAAGGTTACGAGAAAAACTAAACTTAGTTCCTGAACCTATTAATACAAAAATAACCATCTAGTGAAAAATTACGTAGTTTGAATATTAATTTATATGATCTAGGATCTAGGAATGAGGATCAAGAGTAGGCTATTACAAAATGAAAATTAATTAGGTTTAATTCGAAGATATTATTCTCTGCAATACATACATAGCGCTTTAGCACGATTTTTTACATGACTATTTTTTTCGTGTGATGTGATGAATGTGGGATGCGAAGTGAGCGTGTATGCTAATATTTCTCGATCAAGTTTCATTATAATGAAGTTATCGATTCAGAATTTGAAATGCGCAGTACCATTCTTTTATATAGTTACTTAATTAAAGGGGATCACAACTTCATCGGGATAGCGTAAAATTCTTTGAATCCTTTTATCTGCCTTGTGCAAGCAAAACGAAAAAATCAAGCGAAAAAATCAAGCGAAAAAATCAAGCGAAATAATCAAACTTACTATTACAATATTATCATTCCAACGAACAAGTATATTCCGTAAAGTGATAACAAGGTATGTTTGTTTTATTGCTCAGCTAGCTTCTTGAAACATGTCATCATGATGCTAATCGATTTTCCCATCTCTAAAGATAAACCGAACACATTACTCTTCTTGTTATATATCGGCATTTTGATCTTCGCCGAGGAAATCCTTGATCATGCGTATAATAGGCGCAGTGAAATGAATCACAGATGTTATCGGCACCACGTGTCTCATCAGCGCAGTAAAATTGCTGTGGCTTTCCTATCAACAACAAAATTTGGCATATTATGTCAAATAAAATTTTCCGGTAATAGCATCTTACTTCAGCTGCTAACCTCCCGAATTTAACGCTGTAGATTAGAAATTTTTCCTTAAATAGTCTTATGGATGGGGTAATTAATTTCGGAAATATCGTGTAGAAAAAGAGTGTGGGTAAAATCTTGTGATTAGTAGCGATAGAAACAAATTAGATATAGATCTTTTTCGTAAAAGTGAGAAAGCAAAGATGCTGGGGCTCGCATTAAATGGCCTAGGATCCGCGTACTCCCTCCCTCTTTGACAGCATCATATATTTCATTCGCTTCTCTTGACATCTGAAAGTAATTAATAATAAATTTCGTGAATGCATAGAAAAAAAAAATAAATTATCCTTGACACTTGACATTCATTGAAGTCCGTAGTCGCCTACTTGAAAGATGGAAATTTTCACCCCCATTAAGCCTTTTGACAGTCATTGCGTTGCGCAAGCTTCGAAAAGGGCTTATAAACAGCAGTGATAACAGGTCTCTTCGCAGTCGCTATAGAAATTCTCACCCCCATTAAGCCTTTTGACAGTCATTGCGTTGCGCAAGCTTCAAAAAGGGCTTGTAAACAGCAGTGATAGCGAGAAGCGAAAAACAGTTTCCTTGTAGTTTTTTTAAATTCGCAGTTAAATTTCAAGTAAACACGTTGCTCTTCTCTTTATTTATGGTAAGATCGACATGGTGTGATTGGTTATTTTCAAATCATGTAGTACAGATCAAATGTGTGGCGGATATGTGGCTAAACCGACTAAATGGCTTGCCTTGCTTTAAACCCAAGCACATGTGAGAGAAAAAAAAAGATATATATTCATAAAATATCGAAATTTTAGAAAAAGGCATTCGGATGTATTGGATCATGATGTGATAGAACGTTTTATCTTCAATATTTTGATGTCCCAAACATCGTTCAACAAAAAATTTTTTATGAGCGCTATTGAGTTACGCGATGGATTAGAGAATTCGTATGCCACTTCTTCCGAAAAAGTTTTCTTCTCTTGAGACGATACATGCTTTTAAAGATGTTGATAGGCCTCGGGGAGCCATGCAAATTCTGTCACCAGCTATCTGCGCGCTGGTACTGAATATCTCAATTTACTCTACAAAATTCGAATGGATGAGGACCTCTGAAATCGCGCCTGTTGTAGATTACTTTCCTCAAGAATATTAAAGAGAACCTATAGACTATGTCGATGGGAATATCCTCGGAAAACTAAGGGTAACGATCATCCAATACAATGTAATAAACGCGATGAAAACCTCAAGCGGAACAGCTTTAACGGCAACAATAATGCAACTGCAATGATGGCCCACCAAATAAAGATTGGGGAACGGCCTACTTCAATGGATTGATGACGAATCGTCCAGGGGAGACAACGACAAAAGCGATATATAACTGCTGAGCCTATTTATGCGATTTGTGCGGTTTGTGAGCAATGTATATTTGATGATAATGAATACGTGGAATACCAACAACCCAGCTAACGGAACAATTAGTGAAGAATATGTAGAGTCTAATGGAGTCATACCGGTAGACGCCGTTTATTGTACGGAGAAATCGAAGGAGAGCTTGCGAACATTATCATAGATAGCGGATCCGTAGGAAACGTGGTGTCGAACGAACTGGTGAAGAAAATTGGCCAGAAAATAAATAGCATACTTCTCTACGATTGACGAATCATCAAACCTCAGCATTAACAAGATGTATCTTCGAGATATTTATGAATAAGTAAATAAACTCGACGTTTTCTACAAGTAATTTTGTACTAAAGCCACAGATATAAAGGAATACCTTTCCGACCTATGTTGAACTTGAAAAATCGAACTTGAATTGATGTCAATTGGCGCCCGAAAGATAGCTTGAAAAAGCAGTATTAAAGCTTGAGGGAACGATTCGAGGATTTAGGAAAAAACTTTGAGTTTTTAGAGTGAAGGATGTAGCAGAAAGCTTTGTTGGCCAATGTGCACAACGGGTTTCTAAAGTATCTTTAACACTCTTGGAACTATTTAAAGCATTCAATGAAATAAACAAACATTTATGAATTTAATGACAACTCTGGAAGATGATAGAGTTTTGTTATGCTGGGAATTTAATTTCTTGGCTTCAGACAATAGTTAAGAACGATCTAAGAAATTTAATCAACGGCGTAGACGAGAAACGTGAGGTTAAGAAGAAACTGTAGTCATATTGCTGGAAGTTAAGCAATTTTTGGATCCGTAAACCTTTAAGATAATCACCAGGTTTTTGACACATGCGAAATAATTCTTTGCCTGAGAAAGTTGTTCATTGTTGCTCAAGTAGTCTCGCCCTTCGGAATACATGTATATACCGTGACGATGATAAATGTATGATAAAATTTATCTTAAAAAAATTAAGTCCGGAAGCATAATTTCCTACGATCTTTCGGGCATACAGGATTTGCAAGGTTAGACTCCCCGATTGCAAAGCAAGCGGCATCGGCTTTTTTTACGTCTGCCAGTCGAAAATGAGAATATTCTAGAACAAAGGACCGACGAACTATGGAATTTGTACAAAGTGAATGCGGTTCACCAGATTATAAATACGCTTCGCAACTCAAATGCAATTACACCAGTCGAATGTTTACTATCAATTCCATGACATTTTCATCTTTGATTCATTAATTTAATTTTCTTTGATGGTGAAAAAGAGATTTCAAGAACTACAGATTTAACGTTAACTGATTTTATAACAAACCAAAATGATTTCAATTTCTTTGTGATTACGGGTATATTTATTATAATGGGAAGGCTAACCAATTTTCTTTCCCGATTGAAAAATTCAAATGGAAGGTCACACAAAAATTTGAAAAGCCTAATTAACTAAATCTTTAATGTTAATTAAACATTTCAGAATATTTTCGGAGTACCAATACCAAGCAGGCGTTATGCATTTTTAAATTTTTAAAGGAGGTGTGACCAAATGGCTAGTTTGAGACAAATGATTACATCATACCGACGGTCCTTAATACCCCTAGTCATGGCAAAATAAGTGTTGTGCACGTGATTTTTAAAGGTAAACCAATCAAATAAGAGTTAGGATTATATTGTATATTGCGGGTACACGTGTATATAGTAAAAATTTCGAAAGGAACATTTTTTGTTCTTTACATTTGTTCGTTACACATTGATCTTACGATTTAATTGGTTTACCCCTGACGCAACCCATCTACATGCTGGATTGTAAATAAAAGGTATTATTTCATTAAATGATTAGGTCATGCTTCATGTGCGACCTACGTATACATTACAAAGTACGTGCGCACGCAGCAAATGCACAAAGTAGTCAATAGTTTTAATAATACCACTGTTACGTATATTTTATTCCAAAATTGTTAGGGTCGGATAGATATAAACAAAAGACCCATTTTAACGTTCAAACGACAAAATTGACAACAGCAGATTATATAATGATTTTCTCAGCTTTACGAAATCGACGAAATAATAATGTTTGCCTCATTTCTCTAATAATTATTTCGGCAATATTTGCCGTCGTAACGACCGTCGAATCAAGTAATAATATAATAAAAAAAGACATTGATTCCTTAATAACACCGAGAGCTTTGTACCTTCCACAAGCAAAGCGGAGTCCGCTGGAAGATAGCCCGAATAAAGAATGTCCTCCGTGTTTTGATTGTCATTTATCTATTTTTGAGTGCTCGCATTTCGCGAATTGTAGTGATTTTGATGGGAAGTGCCAGTGTCCTCCTGGGTTTGGTGGGGAAGACTGTTCGAAACCTCGTAAGTTTAGGAAGATATTTGTATTTTCTGAGAATTTTTAATAAGGTGTGGTATCCGGAAATCAAGATATTTTTTTATTTGAAATGTGAAAAGTTTGTAATTCTTTGGCTGATGGATCTAATCGTCGGACACGAGGAGACAATCAAGTTTGTGAATGCGCTGAAGGATGGACAGGAATAAATTGTAATGGTGAGTAATTTAAGTATGTATTTACTGTGTATGAATGGAACTCAAAGATTTGACGAATACTCAATTTTTGTTATTATGTATTCAGTTTGCCATTCCGATTTTGCATGTGATCCGCTTGTTCCGACAGGAATGAACGGTACTTGTTATAAAGGCGGATTAACAGTAAACGAAAATTTTCAGATGTGTGATGTCACAAGTAAGTGTTATTTTTTTTATTTTTTTATAATTCTTCGAAGATAATTTATTTAACGATTATTTTTTACGGTACATATCTAATAACAATAACAGACAGGAAAATTCTTGATATGCTTCCTGATCAACCACCTCAAGTTACCTTTTCGTGTAATCGTCCCGACGAAACCTGTGACTTTCAATGTAAATTATATGAATTTCAAATTTTACATATTTTCTTCTAATGAGGAATGTAAATTAAGAAGTCTTTTTGTGACGTTTAACAGTCTGGATAAATCAAACCGAATCCTTTTATTGCCACCTGGACGAATGTGCATTCAGTCTTGACGTGACTTATGATAAAAACATCACCGAATATAACTGTAAAAACATTAAATGTAAATGTAGGGAAGGTGAAATGTTGTGCGGAAAGGATGGAAGCATTGGTAATGTATTTATTTTTATGTAGCTTAGTAATAAGAATTTTTTACTAATTTCTATTTTTTGTTCGATAGATCTTTCTGAATGGCTCGTAGAGGAAATCAAAGGACCTGGCGATTTCAAATGTTATAATTCTGAAGATTGTCGATTTTCTGGCAAGTTAACCACTTCAAACAGAAACTACACTATTATATATAAATTACCTTTTTTTTTTTTACTTTACAATTATATTGACGCGTACGTGTAATATTCTAGAACCGGCTATGAACGATTTGATTCAGACCATTTTTGGAGATCATTTTATCTCTCTGAAATGCGGTGGTGGCGAATGTCTTCATTATACTCAAGTTCCAGGATTTGTCGTAAGCGGCTATGTTTATTCTTAGAACTATATTTTACATGTATTCTACCCTCGCTATAGCGCACCCCGTTAAACCGGATCCCTCGTTATAGCGGCGCAATTCGTTAATAACGTTATAGCGAAGGATCCACTATAATGAACTGATTTTTCAGCCAATAGATCCGTTATGACGAGGGTAGAGTGTGTCAATAATATTATTTATTAAATTTAATCTATTAATTAATATTTACACAGAGACCACCTAAACCCGAAAACTCAAAAATGATAATTGCATCTATTGTTGCGGTGTTGGTGTTTGTCATAGGTGTATTCGCAGGCATGTTTAAATTTATTAATTTGCTTTTCGAACAGAGCTATCCAAAATTGTACAAAAAAAATAATTCTTGTTATTGGAAATAAAAAAGGTGTCTTTCATCTATCCCGTAATTGGAAAACATCCGACAACTACGGACTCATACAACTTCCTGATGACGAGTCTTCAAAACTCATGGCTGACCACGTCCCCGCAACATTGCTTTTCCAAGATATTAGTTACTACGTCGGCGAGAAACAAGTCCTGAATTCGATACACGGGATTGTACATCCTGGTGAAATTATGGCGATAATGGGTGCTTCGGGCGCCGGAAAAAACCAGTTTTTTGGATATTTTAGCCAAAAGGAATAAGGCTGGGATTGTGAGCGGCGATATTTATGTGAATGGACGTGTGGTCGAGGACCGGGTGTATAAGAGTGTTGTTGGGTGAGTTATAATTTTTTTGAATTTTTTTATTTATCTGAATGTTTGCAATAATATTTATTTACTTTGTAATTTTTAGATATGTGGATCAAGAAGACCATTTATTGCCTACGTTGACTGTATATGAAACTATATTGTATTCTGCTTTATTAAGATTGCCACGAGAGATGTCGTTGGAAGCTAAAAAGTTTAGAGTAATCGAGACAATGAGCGAACTTGGTATTCTAGAAATTAAAGATTCCAAAATTGGTGAATCTGGTATTTATCGTTTACTATCACTGAAAATAATTATTTGTGACGTCAAAAAAGCCCCATTAAAAAACTAATTTTTTACTGAAAAAGGCGCACGATCAATATCCGGTGGCGAGAAACGTCGCGTCTCTATCGCCTGCGAGCTAGTCACCTCACCATCCATCCTATTCCTCGATGAGCCAACTTCAGGTCTTGACGCGTATAACGCTTACAACGTTGTCGAATGCCTTGTTACGCTAGCGAGAAATTACAACCGCACGGTCGTGTGTACAATTCATCAGCCACGAAGTAATATTTTTGCGTTGTTTGATCAGTTGTTGTTGCTCGCCGAAGGACATATGGTTTATTCGGGAGAGGCGAGCAAGTGTCAAGAATATTTCGAAAGTATTGGACACAAGTGTCCGCCGGGCTTCAATATTGCTGACTATTTGGGTAAGTTGAAGTTTGATCGATCAACTTTTTACATATAATTATTTAACTAACATCACTAATTCCACAAATTTAGTGGATTTGACAATGTATGCCGTAAAGCCACGTGATGAAGAGATCGTAGATGACTTGCCTGAAGGAACATCCACTGCCATATCCACGTCACCAGCAAATGCTACTAATGATGGTCCCGAATCAACACCTGTTTCACGTTTTGCCGCCAACAATCGACCGCCACTTCGTAATCGAGCATCTATTCATGATATACAAGATCTTCAACTTTACGCTCCGCAGCCACCCTCGAATCAACATGAACAAGAAAACTCACCATTACTGGAATTAAATGATAGATCGCGCCCGGGAAGCACGGATGATATTGGTCTGGATGTTGAGACTGAGGGTATGAGTGAACATTTAAGAATGTTAGTTGAAAGATATCGACGAAGTTTGGTTGCTCTACAAGTGAAAGATGAAATAGATCGTACCGTAAATAGGTTTGTATTAATTAGTGATTATTGTTCACTTAAAAATTTTATTCATGGATAATTATTACTAAAACACCAATGATACCGGTAATATTACCAATAATATTACCAATAATATTAACAACCAATAATATTAACAGCGATGAGCATCCAGTCTTAACACCTGACCAAGAAAACGGGTCAATAAGCTCACATCAGCGCGCATCGTGGTTTACGCAATTTCGAATTCTTTCAGATCGTACATTCAAAAATTTATACAGAAATCCAATGCTTATGTTAACACATTATTGCATCAGTGTATATCTAGCAAGTAAGCTTTGCTTTTCACCAATTAAATTTTCAAGTTTTTACATATGTGTCAACTTTATTTATCCTCTGTTATTCGCGTTTTTAGTACTATGTGGTGCATTATATTATAAAGTAACGAACGATATTGCCGGTTTCCAAAACCGAATGGGTGTATTATTCTTTATGTGCGCTCTTTTCGGATTTGGATGTCTAAGCTCTATCCATATATTTGCTTCCGAACGAATATTATTTGTGAAAGAACGAGCTAATGGATATTACGCACCAATAACATATTTCGCATCAAAGGTTTTTTATTCAATATGAGTCATAATTTCATTTCTTTAATATTATCATTTCATAAGGCTAACAAAGAATTATTCTAGGTCATCTTTGATATAATACCTTTACGTGTTGTTCCGCCGATTCTGATGGGTGTTATCATTTATCACATGGTTGGCCTGGTGAATGGCACAAGCGAATTCTGCAAATTCATACTGGTCTTGGTGTTGTTCAATCTCACGGCCGCTAGCATATGTCTGTGTATCGGAATTATCTTTAAAGAAGTTGGCGTTGCCAGTTTGCTTAGTAGTTTGATTATGCTGTTTAGTATGTTGTTTGGCGGATTGTTCTTAAATAAAGGTTTGTTTTTTTCTTAATTTTTGCTTGGCTATTTGTGAACTTTATTAAGTTTTTGGACTTGATCATTCTAAATATTTTATATCCTTGTTTTATACATATATAAAGATTCAATTCCTGAATATCTGGCGTGGTTGAAAAACCTTTCATTCTTTAATTATGCTTTCGAGGCATTACTCGTCAACGAAGTTGTGTATTTGCAACTTACAGAACAGAAATTTGGCCTTTCGATTGATGTTTGTATTTCGCGTTTCTTTTCTCTGATTTTATATTTTAGTATTTAATTGAAGAATTAAAAATATAATAAATTGACCATCATTTATAAAATATATCTAGGTGCCTGGTGCAACGATATTAACTACTTTTGGATTCGACGCGTCTGCTTACTGGACAGACGTGCTAAAACTCACTACTTTATTTGTTTCAGCTCTTGTACTCTCGTTTCTATGTCTACAATTCTTTGTTAAAGAAAAACGCTGAGAAAGGTTCATCTTTTTTTCGTTATTCTATTATTAGCATTCTGTTTTTTTTGAAATTACGGGATTTATTGTAATTATACCAATAGTAATAATAATCTCTATATTATAATAAAGCTGTATTAGTAATAATGATAATAATAATCGAATATATAAAACTTGACTGTAAAAATAATTCTATCATGTAATGACAATTTCCCGATATAGGACGAGTCAGATTGTTTAACCCCAAGAAATTTGGTGGTATGAAACCTAATTATGTGATGGTGGTGTATTAATAGAACAGTAATTATCACTTCTGCATGTCTGAATTCAAGGTGAATTAATGATCGTCCTTGGGAAGAAGAGTGAATTGAACATCGTAAAGTTAGGCTATCCTATTCAATTTGACGTTCACCATCTCTACTATTATTAAAGTATCCATATTTCTATTTATCTTTTAGTTGTTGGTGTAATAATGACCATTGTAGGTATAACGTTTGCCATGATTATCATTAGAGATATTACGAGAGGATTCCTATGATCAACAGAAGCAAAATTATATGATTCACATTAAATTTTAATACCATTATTAATGAGTTGTTTTTGCTCTCTCTTACATTTTCATTATTTTTATTACTGCTGCTGTTATCAACTATGTTATCTTTATTCAAACATTCCTCATCATCACTTTCATCATCTTCCAATCCTTCACCACGAAACACCGCCACATTGTGATCTGTCTCATGGACCTTAACTTTATACAGGGTTACATCATGCGGCAGATTCTTTTTTAGGTTTCGCCATATGAATACCGCTAGATTTTCGGTTGTACTGTGGATATCAAATTGAGAAGCATAAATTAATAATTGATTAATTTCTATTGAAACAAATCATAGATCAGAAGTGAGCTTGCTTTACTTCACAATGTTTTTCAGACAGATAACGTAGTATATATTATTTACTTCATCATATTCACTTTTTATTGAATATGATACGTAATAATAATGACATACGCCTTCGCGCTCCTTACCTTGGTCTTTTTTTAAAATATGGAACATCAAGATCCTGCGCATTTTTGTGAATCGCGTACATATAAAAGAGAGAGAAAGAAATCATCCAATCATCATTGTTTAATAATTGAAGATCTCGAGTAAATAATTTAGGGTGTTGAATCTTACCAAATTCTTGTGATCTAGCACATCCATTATGGATACTTGCATGCACGCTTTCAAGTCAACTAAATTGAAAACCATCCCGGTCCTTTTATCTATCTAAAAGACTTATCAATCAGTTAGTTTTCCTTGAAATTTTCAACCAAAAATACGAGACGATTAATCCTTGATCGTTAGACTTTACCTCGCCTTTTATTATAGCTTCGACTAGATAAGAAAAAAAATGATGTCGCCGAATATGTAATATCAACAAAATAAACGCGTATCTCATAAAATCCCAAAGCTAACCTCTATAGTTATGTCCATGTCCGTGTACACTATTACATTTCCCGTAAACTTTACGATTTTCTTCGACACTCAAGTATGGCGAATGTAGACGATGTGCAGCTGAGAAAGTCTCTATTCTGCTTATGTATGTCGTTGGTGGCATTAATAATAATAAGTAAATGTGAAAGTTAAATAATAAATATTCACAATAAACTAATATCATGCACAAAAGACCTTATGCCTCCCGCAGGATTTGTATCAAGGAAGATCAAAATACGAACTTTCCAAAATTATCGTCATACAAGTCACTTGATTTTTTAGTACCTCTATTAGTTTTGGATTATTTCCAAATTAAGTAATCTCAAATAAAGCAATATATGTTGCGCGATTCCCAACATTAATCTATCTCCCTAACCTTAATTCTAACTTTAGTAGAACCTTGTTCTAAGTTTGGCCAAGCGACATCTGACGCAAGAAACGATCCGAGGCACTGTTACGTGGGGGATTATTAATGGTTAATTGCGGATCTTTTGATTATAGGCTTACAAGCAGAGATGGAAGAATCGTACGCGATTCTGGCAGAGTTTTGGTAAGCGTTTAGCAATAAGCGATGGGTCACTTTCAAAAGTCATTAATTGTTATTATTGATTGCTATTTATTCTTTTATATACATCTTTTGTTATTGTTAACGTCTTTACATGCGATCTATTGTCTACGATAGAATTTGAAATATAATAATAGATAGGAGAAAAAAATAAATAGAACTTGGGAGACGAACATGAAATATTATTTTGGATAGAAAACAGAAATCAAAATGGGATGTATCGCAAATAATCTGGGAATCACTAAAGTAAATTCGGATTAACATTAGACCACATGACTAGTGTTACGGGTTACCCATGGCCAGGTCGGCCAGGCCGACCAGGCTGGTCACAATTCAATGAGGCCGCAAGGCCGACCGCTTACCTTATTTGATATACTTCTATTTATAGTAATAATACCGGTTATAGTGTGACCAACCGGATTAATTATTTATAGCACGAACAATTTAAATTGTGAAATATTATATGCTTATGCATATTCTTGTTACTTTTTTCACTATGACTATTTGCATTTGAGAAAGATGGAATGATACAGGGTGAACGAGAAAGCATTTCGTAGTTTCTGATAACCAATTGTAATTTGTTATTAATAACGCAAGTACATTTGTTATGCAAAGTGAAACTTCAAATAAATTAACTCAAAGTGGAATTTCAAATAAACTGACTCACCATGAAAACTCTAATGAAGAAATATATGAAATACTTATGATACTCTTCAAGAAATCTCTTATGAAATTTCTCAAGATAATTAAAATAAAAATATGATAATTTTATTATTACTATTACCTTTATTCTACCAATTCTATTTATTTTAACATTTGATACTTCAGCATTTACATTATAATATATTGCTATTTTATTAATAAATGCTTACTAATTTAATAATCACAAAGCAAATGGGACTCAAGCTGAATGTGAGATTATATATACATAAATTCAAGCATTAAAATATAATATTATACTATATAAATAATAGAAAATGATATCGAAAAGTTATATAATATAAAATTTATAGCTACAATTAGTATTACAAATATTAAGAATTATTTATCAAATTTTAAATGCAATTAATTTAGCAAAAGTATTAAATCTTATTACTAATCAAACATAATAGATATTAGAAAATATATCAAAAATACAAAGTTATAATCCAGTACAAAAAGATTAATATATCAAATAAATATTAATAGATTATTTTTTCAAAATAAAATTTTAATTCTGTCTTATTTAATTAAGTTATTAGATATTAGAATTTATTTAAATATAAAAATTTTTATTATATATCTTTTATAAAAAATTTTATTAATATAAACTTTTTTGAATTATTATTTCTTAAATTTTACTATATAAAATTTAATTAAAATTAATATAAAAATTATATAATAAATAATTTAATTACTAAACTTTGAATCTTAATATTTTTATAATTACTAATTTAATTAGTATGAAATTTAAAATATATATTTATCAAATCTAGAAATTTACTTATATAATTTAAAGTTTTAATATTATAAATTAATAGTAATAATATTTTTTTTAAAAAAATTAATTTTATTTTAGTTTTTTTAATAAAGTAATACTTTATTTATTATTAAATTTAAAATATAATAGAATAATTAAAATAATATAAAAAGTTAATTTAAAATATTCTTTATTTAATATAAAAAAATTATAAAGATTAATTAAAATTTGAATAATTTTTATTAGAAGTAATTATTAATATATTAATTTTTTTATATCAGTTTATAATATAGTATATTATATAATATAATTAATAATATAATAAATACATATAATTTTTATTATTTCTTAAAAGTTTATATAAATATTAATTAAGTAAATATTTTTTAAAAATAGTTAGATATAATTAAAGATATTATTTTAATTAATTATAATTTATAATAGTTAATTAAAAAATTATAATTAATTATAATAGCTAATCAAAGAATTATAATCAAGTTATAATATTATTTTTAGATATAATTAATTTTTTTAAAAATTTAAATTTAATATTAAATTAATAAAAAATTATTTATATATAATATATTATTATAATTAATTAATAAAATAAGTTTTATATAATAAAAAAATTATATAATATATTTTAATTCTAATCAAAATATATAATAAGTATTTAATACTAAAGTAAAATAGTAAATTATATATTATTTGAATTATATAAATTCAAATCATATTAATCTGAATTTATCTAATAATTTTAAGTTATATAATAATATATAATATATTTTATCATTATTATAAGATAATATTTTTTATTTTTTTAAATATTTAAAAGTAATTAATTAAAAAAAATTAAAAATAATAAAAATAAAAGTAAATAAAAAATAAAATATTAGTTAAAAAATAATTATATTAATAATACAAACTTAAAATATATTCATATAAAAAATATAAAAAAAATTAAATATATTCATATAAGAAATATAAAAAATATTAAATTTTATATTTTAAGCTATATTTAAGTTACAAGAAATATTATAAAATAATTTATATATATATATACATATTTATATATTTTAAATAAAACTTTTAATATAAGAAGTTATTAATTAAAAATAATAATGAATATTATAATTATTATAATATAATAATATTCTATTTATTATAATATTATACCGTAAAGTCCCATGAATAAGCAACCTCCTATGTCATCATTTTGGAGGCTGATTTTTAGGGGAGATTGCTTATTCACGGGACTTTCTGAATACTTAATGTCTATTGGCCTAATGGTTAAATTAATTCTGAGTCACTACAAATATAGCGAATTAGTTACACATAATATTTCAATGTTCCAAATTTGATCAAATTTTTTCATGTCCTGTTTCTCCCTCTCTTGTCAAGAGAAAATGAGCAATACTTCCATCAATATTATCCAGTCCAAATTCAAAGATCACATACAAAGGACTTCATATAAAGCATCCAAAAAACTTGCCATTATTAATGAAGCTAAAAAGTTTGGCATTTTGACTGCGGCATGTCAGTTAGGTATTGACCAGTCAATGGTATCATGGTGGGTGCGTGATGAGAAAAAGTTTAGTAATACCATATTAACAAGCTGATGTATTAGTGCCGGAAAAATTTCAGCCTATCCAGCTGCTGAGAAAGAACTTCTTAAATGGATTAATGAGTTTTGTCTTGTTGGGATTACCATGATGGCAGGTGCTATCAAATTACAAATAGTTACTATTCTCACAATAACCTATGCAAATGATTATCCAGATGTCTCTAATAAATTTCATGCTTCACAATCTTGGTTTTATTAGTTTTTAAAAAGGCATAATCTTTCCCTTTAGCGGTACACTAAGATCAGCCAAAAGCTATCTAATGATTTGAATGAAAAAATTATCAAATTTCAAAGATTTATAATCCGATCTCAGTTAGCGTACTAATATAATCTTTCTCAAATTGTCAATATAGATGAAACACTAGTTTATTTTGATATGATGGGTTCTACTACAATTAATGTAAGAGAAGCTAAAACTATTCAAATTTGAACAACTGGCAATGACAAAAATCGATTTATATGTGTCTTGACTATAACAGCAGATGGCAACAAACTTCCTTCCATGATAATTTTCAAAGATGTACGAATCTCCACCAATCTTCCTAAAGGAATTGTTGTACATATGCATGAAAAAGCTTGGATGGATGAGTATTTAATATGTGAGTAGATCGACCAAATTTGGAATAGACATCCTGAAATATTAACAGCATACAAACCTATCTCTTTACTTATTATGGATTCATTCGAAGGACACAAAACTGAATTGGTATGCTAAAAATGTAATGCTAGCAATACTCATTTAGCAATCATTCCTGGAGGTTTAACGTTAGTCATTTAACCTTTGGATGTATGCATCAATAAACTATTTAAAGACAGATTAAGAGAAAAATGGCAGCTATGTATGAGTTATGATGATTTTGAATTGACTAAAGGTGGAAATCTAAAAAAACCACAATATAATTTGATTTGTCAATAGATTTTAGAGGTATGGAAAGATATTTCTTCAGAAATGATTATTAAATCATTTAAAAAATGTGGAATTTCTAATGCATTAGATGGGACTGAGAATGATTTATTATATAGTTCTGATGCAGAAATTAGTGAAACTAATG